GCAATTTTCAGCAAAATGTATTGTGATTTGGGCTATTTTTAGCACATTTTGGGTGATTAGTGCGATTTTCAACATGATTGTTTTATAATTACACTTGCGTTTGGATTTTTCTTTTAACTAGGTAGGTGCATGTGGGTTGCATATGTCTGATTAGTTAATCTTTTTATATTGAATTTGTATATTTATCCTAATATTATATTAAAAATGTAAAATATTAAAATAAACATATTAAATAATGTAAATTGAACTGAAAATTTTAGTTTAAAAGTTCCATTTTTTCCGCTACATTAGATTGCATCTCTAGATTTCAGGTTATGATCATAAATGATCATTTGGCAAATAACACGAATCGTTGCCGCCACTTTAAATCTCATGCAATTGTCCGAGCAAAATTTTCGAAACATCTTATAATTATTCTGCAATTCACAACTTTCTTAAAACCTGTAAGAAATTTTATGATTTCATATAATACAAATCAAAGATATGAACAAAACAATAAATTTTACACTAAATTATCACACATAGAAAATATTTCTATTTATATTGGTGTTTCAACCAACATTTATACATTAAAATAAGGGTAAATTACAAACACCCCCCTGAGGTATGGTCAAATTACAAAAACACCCCTCTTGTTTGGATAATTACAACCACCCCCTCAACTCCTCAAATTTAGTGGAATCTTCGAGATTATATGGAATATTATCACTTTTGTAGCCGTTTTATCCCATTCAAACTCTACATTATGAAGCAAGATGATCATAATATGTGATCTTTAGCTTGTATATATCAGTTTGTGGTGCATCGGAAACTGTATTTTTACACAAAACGAGTACAAACTAGAGCACATTTCACGAAATCTAGATGATTATGTTGAATTTGGCACCATAAGGGTGGAGGTGTAAGAAAGAATCATAGTTGAGGAGGGTAGATGTAATTATCCAAACAAGAGGGGGGTTTTTGTAATTTGACCATACCTCAGGGGGGTGTTTGTAATTTACCCTTAAAATAATTGCCTTTAAATAGTTGATTTGGAATTAAATTTATTTCTTATAAATTCATTTTTATCGTGTTATGAGTTGGGAGGAATTGTCCACGTGGTGGAGGTCCGGACATGGACGCTTGTGTATGTTGAATGCACTATAAGGCTAAAATTTATTCCTTTCCTGATATCAAAATATTTTAGGACAATTGGTAGTGCCTAAGGTCCTACATATTGAAAACAATTTAATCATTCTGTTAATGAAGTCGTGCACCCATGTGAAGAAAAATCTGATTTTACTTTTTTCCTGCCTTGAGAATTTTTCCTAAACCAGATCATACACAAACAACAAAAGAAAAATATCATGCTATCAATTATATGAGTTCACAAACCTAGATAAGGGTGTTTGGCTAAGTTTATTTTAAATAATTGATAAACTCTTAGGTCTGATAAGATGTTTTAAAAGCCCATAAGCTGTTACATCTTATTTTTATCATTAATTTTTACAGTGTTTGGATAATCATCTTATTTCTTATTTTTACTATTATAAGATCTTAAATAAAAAGGTGCATTAGAGGTATTTTTTTAAAAAAGATTTTATTTGCTTTCCAATAGCTTATATAAAAAAAATACTTTTTTTCTTAATTTACCAAACACTTTGGAAGAGCTTATAAGCTTGGCCAAACACCCTCTTAATCATCAAGGCAATTCGAAATTCGATTAATATAGACCATCATTTTTTCTTCAATTGTTGAACATTTATGTGGCCAAAAGAACCGGCATTACACAACTATAAACCCATGAACAAAAAGTTTGGAATATAATTTCTTGATACACTGAAATCTTGAATATATATTTGTTCAAAAATATTGATGTTATAAAGTGTCCAATAACCCCCAGTAAGTTTAAGACATACGAGATTAATGATGCCAGAGTTATATTACCTTAGAGAGTTGAAGTAGGATGAGCTGGAAGAGTAGAGTAGATCATTGGCTCACGAGTTTGATGACCTTGAGATACCTGCGATCATAGAACACGTGAACTAGGCTGGGGGTTGATCCGACGAAAACCCCTCCGACGCTCAAGTCAGACGTGCGGATAGTAGAAATAGTCCAGAGAATACATGTTGTAGTATTGCTCAGATAATAGGACGTACCTTAAGGAATGAGTTCAAACGTTTATTTATAGCTTAATTTTGGGGCCCAAACCTTACTTCAATGTGATTGGGCTTCGGTGATAGTGGTCTTAAATATTGGGTTCGTGGCCCATTAGGTAAAGAAATTGTAGGCCCATTTGGTTGGCCCAATTAAGCATATCATTAAGCCCCCCACTCTCGAGTCGATGTGGGGGCCATGTCGGAATGGGTTCCAGATCATGTCGAGAGTAGAAATTGTAGTGGTCTCGCATCGGCGTATGGCCTAATGCCTAATGGTGTGCACAAACGCGTTGGAGCGTGTGTCGGTGGGGCGTGAAAGCGCGTTGGCGCGTAGCGCGTTGGCGCGTAGCGCGGCCAAGTTGTCGCGATGTAGGTTACTTGAGTCGTCGGTGTATCGGATCGAGTTATCTCCTCGTGGGAGTTGTCTCATCGCAGGGTAATAGAGTTGATCGATTTATCTCCTCGAGTTATCTCCTCGTGGGAGTTGTCTCGCGATAATGTAGTAGCACGGAGCGAGTATTCTCCTCGTGGGAGTTGTTATTTACTAACATTGTCAATGTTTTGACGCGTTGCTTGTATGTGTTTACATATAGCCTTGTGCGTGATGTACTTAAGGAGGGGATCAGGCTCTCAAGATTTTTTTATGGGGATTGTGCCCCTTGTTGGACCTCGTGAGTTGTAATTATGTTTGGACCGTGGCCACATTTTAATGAAGGACCCAAAGAAAACAAGTGGATATATTTGAGTAATCAAGCTGGCCAGGCTATATAGATTCCCATAATATCTCTAAGTGCTTCTAGGGTTGTAATCGTGCTGATTTGCGCTTGCGATTAAGTAGTGAATTGCGGGCGTGTTGTCTCCTCGTGGGAGTTGTCTTGCAGCGAAGTTGTAGGAGCGTTGGATAACGAGCGACTGGGGCGCGTTCGGATTCATGTCGCTCTGAGCGAGTTGTCTCCTCGTCGGAGTTGTCTCGCATCGATTCTTATTACCGAGCAAGGTGGCTCCTCGTGGGAGTTTCCTTGCAACATGTTCGTAGCGCCGAGTGAGTTGGCTCCTCGTGGGAGTTGTCTCGCTGCGGATTGTAGTCGAGTGAGTTGGCTCCTCGTGGAGGTTGTCTCGCTGCGGGTTGTAGGACCGATCGAGTTGTCTCGCTGTTGGTTCATAGCATCGAGGGGGTTGGCTCCTCGTGGGAGTTGCCTCGCAACAGGTTGTAAGACCGAGCGAGTTTGCTCCTCGTGGGAGTTGTTTCGCAACAAGTTCGTAGTTCTGAGCGAGTTAACTCCTCGTGGGGTTGTCCCGTTGCGGGTTGTAGTACCGAGGGAGTTGGCTCCTCGTGGGAGTTTTCTCGCAACGGGTTCGTATTACCGAGCGAGTTGTCTCCTCGTGGGAGTTGTCTCGCTGCGGGTTCGTAGTACCGAGCGAGTTGTCTCCTCGTGGAAGTTGCCTTACAACGGGTTGTAGGATCGAGCGAGTTGTCTTCTCGTGGGAGTTGTCTCGCTGCGGGTTGTAAGACCGAGCGAGTTGTCTCCTCGTGGGAGTTTTCGTGTAACGGGTTGTAGTACTGAGCGAGTTGACTCCTCGTGGGAGTTGTCTCGCAGAGAAGTCGTAGGGGCGATCGAGTTGGACCGCAACGGTTGTGGAGCGATGCGCGTATCTAGGTCGTTCATGTGGATCGAAGTTGTACGGTGGAGGATCACGTGGATCGAGGTCGCGTGCGTGGATTGAGGTGTGTGCGTGGAGAAAGAGCACGCTCGCGTAGCGCGGATGGAGATGTCGGCGCACGAATGGCGAAGACGCGGTGACACGGTGATGCGCGCGCGTTAGGGCGAGCAAGACGCGGGAATGCGGAATGCGTGCGCGGATGCGGAGGGCGCGGATGCGGATGTGGAGTGCGCGGATGCGCGAAGGAGAATGTGGAGTGCATATGCGGATGTGGAGCACGCGGATATGGAGCGCATGCGGATGTGGAGCGCATGCGCAGATGCAGAGTGCATGCGCGGATGAGGATATGGAGTGCTTGGACGCGTATGCGGATGGGGAGCGTACGGATATGGAGCGCATGCGCGGATGTGGAGCGCATGAGCGGAAGCGCATGCGCAGAGCACGGATGCTGAGCGCATGCGCGGATGTGGAGAGCGCGGATGCGGAGCGCATACGCGGAGGTGGATGTGGAGCTCCTGTGCGGAAGCGGAGCACGCGGATGTGAAGCGCAGACGCGGATGCGGAGAGCGCATGCACGGATGAGGATGTAGAGCGCGTGGATGCGGAGCGCATTCGCGGAGGTGGATGTGGAGCGCATTCGCAGAAGCGGTTGCGTAGAGCACGGATGCTGATGCGGAGAGCGCAGATGCGGATCGCATGCGCGGATGAAGATGTGTAGTGCACGGATGCGGAGCGCATGCGCAAAGGCGGATGTGGAGTGCATGCGCGGAAGCGGATGCGGAGAGCGCCGATGCGGAGAGCATGCGCGGATGTGGAGCGCATGCGTGGATGTTGATCGCGCGCTCGTCGAAAGGGGCGCGAGGTTGGGGATGTGTTATCCTTGGAGTAGAGAGATCATACCCAGCTATTGAGATGGGATGTGAAAGCATTCGAGTTGAAAGGTAAGGATGATGTACTACCCTTGAGACGAGATGTCCAACCATTTGGATGAGATGTCAAACCTTGGGGTGGGATAGCCCCCAGCTTAGGATAAGACGATCACGAACCATGTTATGATTTTGAAGGACTCCAAGTGTCGTTGAAATAATTGGAATGATAGCTCGTAAGGGAGAGGCATTGCCTTTCGGAGGTGAACGTGGGCGATGTTGCGCAGTTCGCGCTTCTGGGCAATGAGTGGGTTGTTACATTCGAGACCTATGGATGGATACGCACGACACACTCGCTTGGTGGTTGTTATGTTATAGCGGTGGTTGTGCCACAGGTGGAGCCGTAGGAGGAGCGTTGGCTCCTGCTATGGCGATGTGTTGTGTCATTGCTTCAGGGGTAGCACGAGTTGGAGCTTCCGAGTCATATGCTGAAGGTCTTCTTTGGTTATCTGAACAGTTAGATGAGCAAGGAGAAGTGGATCCTGTTGAGGACTTAGTGGGGCCTCGATAGGAGGAGCGTTGACTCGCGTTGAGGTGATGAATGATGCCACCACTGCTTCAGTGGCACGAGTTCAAGTTTCCGCGCTCATACGTTGAAGGTCCTCATCGGTTATCTGAACCGTTCGAGGAGAAAGTAGAAGTTGATCATGTTGAAGCTTCCGCGGTCATATGCTTAAGGTCCTCTTCGGTTATCTGAACTGTTCGAGAATCAAGAAGAAATTGATCCTGTTGAGGACACTGTGGGACCTCGCAAGGGGAGCGTTCGCTCCCTTTGCGATGATGTATGGTGCCACTGTTTCAATGGCCCGAGTTGAAGCTTCTGCGATCGTACGCTGAAGGTCCTTTTCAGTTATCTGAACCGTTCGAGGAGCAAGGAGAAGTTGATCCTATTGAGGACCTAGTGGGGCCTCGCGAGGATGAACTTGTGTTGGATCTCGAATGCGGGGAAGGGAAATCGGGAAGCCGGAGCCTCCATGATGTGGGAGGTTGTTAGCGTTGAAGGGCCTCCTCGGTTGTCTGAACCAATCGAGGGGCGGGAAGAAGTGGATCCTGTTGAGGATCTAGTGGGACATCCGAGGAAGGTCTCGTGGTGGATCTTGAGCACGAGGAGGAGGAAGTGGCAAGCTAGAACCTCCACGATGTGGGAGGTCGTTAGCAGTGTCACACTCCCCATGGGCGAATGTCTCAAGGTCATCATGCGCGCTACGTGATTATGTCTGCCTTCCCATAGACGGCGCCAAAGTGATGATCCTAGAGATATATAACCTTAGAGAGTTGTAGTAGGATGAGCTGGAAGAGCAGAGTGGATCACTGGCTCATGAGCTTGATGACCTTGAGATACCTGTGATCATAGAACATGTGAACTACGCCGGGGGTTGATCCGGCGAAAACCCCTCCGACGCTCAAGTCAGACGTGCGGATAGTAGAAATAGTCCAGAGAATACATGTTGTAGTATTGCTCAGATAATAGGACGTACCTTAAGGAATGAGTTCAAACGTTTATTTATAGCTTAGTTGTCGGGCCCAAACCTTACTTGAAGGTGATTGGGCCTCGGTTATAGTGGTCATAAATATTGGGTTCGTGGCCCATTAGGTAAAGAAATTATAGGCCCATTTGGTTGGCCCAACTAGGCACATCAGAGATGTAACAATCATAGGCCACATTTTGATTCGCCCTTTCTTCTTTGTTTCGATCGATTGTTGATCAGTTTGTTGTCTTATCTTCTTGAATATATTTAAGTGATGGCTTAGCCTCTCTTTCTCTCTCATCTTCTTGAATATGTTTAAGTGTTAGCGTAGCCTCTCTTTCTCTCTCATCTTCTTGAATACCTTCAAGTGTTGGCTTAGTATCTCTTTCTCTCTCATCTTCTTGAAAACCTTTCAAATGTGCAAAAAGAGATGTGTAATTTTATTACATACAAATTGTTTAAATAACGTGGTTTCCATTAGAATGCAGATGAGGAAGATGAAGGAAAAGTAAAATGAAAAAACACATGAATATTGATTATATATCTCTCAAAGACATAAGAAATTTTAAGAAAAAGTGAGGTGATCACCATAGTATTTCCTGTTCAATCATAATCCAAAATCTTCCAAATATGGCGGACAACCTGTTCTTTGATTTTAATTTGAGTGGGTATCAAACCGCTGAATTGTCAAACCATCAATCTATTTTTTGTTTTGAAGATTGGAAAGCATATTCTCCTTAAATTCGTTTTACTCTTCTTGTAATGGAGGTAATAATATCTATTTAAACCATGAATTTGAGCCTGAAATTTTTTCATGATTACAAATTAGAAACCAAGGGTACGAGAGTTTTAGAATGAAGTCAACAAACTAAAGTAGTGCACCATCTTAAATATTCTCCGACAATGACGCCAAAAACTTGTTGGTGGTAATACTTACACGCAAGTGCACGTATCGTACCAGTAATATAAATGATTTTGATCCCACAGAGAATATTTAATTATTTAATTCTAGACGCTAAATCCTACCAATTGTGATCAAGCTCACCCTACACAATCGAATTTTGAGTAATTATTCTAAATTAACTAAACTAAAATAAAGCAAATTAATAAATGTAAAACTCTAATTAAAAATTGTCAAAAAAATTAATTATTATCTAATTATTACTATGATCAGGGTCGGCTCATGCATATAGGCAGGTTGCGCCTTTGCCTAAGGCCCCACCTTGTTAGGGGGCTCCACCAAGTAATTGTTTATTATATATAATTATTATCTATGTTATATGTATAATATAGCCTTTTTATATTATCTCCCTAAATTAATGACTGTAAATTTCAATACAAAACTTTAAAAATCAAATCTCGAAATTTTCTGATTTTCTCTTGTACTAGCCTTCTCGTTCTATGAGTTTTTTTAGTTTCTATATTTTATTCTGTTTATTGCAGGTGATTATTGGGTGAATAAAGTTTCTATTACGTTGACTTTCAACTTGTTATTTACCATGTTCTACCATTTTTGGTCATTGCTCATAATTTTTCATATATTATGTCGAGTGGATAAAATATTTGTTTGGATCTAAAAAATAAAAAACTAGAATAAGATTGTGAATGTCAAAAGAGTTGTAGAAAAATCAATGCATTTTCATCCATTAAAACACGAATAATAAATTTTAAATAAATTCCTTTTGAAAATAAAGGGCCCCGTTTTTTTGTTTCGCCTAGGGCCCCAATAACCTAGAGCCGGCCCTGATTATGATTATTATTATTTTGGACGTCCAAGAGGTCAAAGTCTATTGGTTTTCCATGAATTTAATGAAAACTCTAACTGTATTTGCATTACACATAATAATTGACGAGTTTAATGAATCTGAATGACACGAGCTCTACGTGTTTTTTTTTCTTATTTTTAAAAGTGTATATCTATTTAATTACTAATCCATATTACTTAATTAACCTTCAAATCTAACCTATTTGAAGGGATATTTTTGTCCGCACATAAAATATAAGAAACCACCCTATGATTCACACTTTTATAAATAATATAGATTATACAGGCTTTCTAACTGTTATGAATTGGTAAAGGTGGATGACCACCATTACTCAGCATTACTCCCACCACTATTTCCACCATTTATTCACCGTTATAGGCCTATAACTCCTTGTAACTCATGATCTTTCATGGTCTTACTTGTACTATATATAGTGCTCCATTGTATTAAGTTGGACACAAAAGAAGAACAAGAGAATAATATATTTGATTCTTTCTATATTACTATGTCAATTCATCTTTGTTTTGTTCTTCTTTATTAGTTTCTCAACACGTTATCAGCACGATTGTTCTATTTCATTTTTCGAGCAATGATGATCCACATAGGATAACCACTTCTCAACCATAGAAGATGAAAAGGGAGTTGATTTCAAATATTTTATTGTTGTTTTAAATTGATTAAATATTAATCATCTTAATTTTGTTGTAGGTGAATTTTCGTGCAATTCATGAGTCTGTACTTCGATGTCTGTTTTGGACCTGATAAAGTCCGAATTTCAGAATTTTCTTTTGGATTTTCGGAACATTTTGAATCATCGAAATCATATCTCAATCGAGAGAGATATGCTTAAAATACTCAGCTCTGCCAGTGCTGTCCCTTGTCCGAATTTTTTGAGATGAACATGACGTTCTAAAAAAAAAGGGGCGATTATAGGCCTAGAGCCTAGATTTAATACGAGATTAGAAATCTAGATTGAATATAAGTCTAAATGATAAGACTCTTGAGCATTTGAGTTAATGGGTATTCCCCAATTATAGTACCATTCTTTCATGATCAAAGTACTATAACGATTTTTATTATATACTGAGGCTTGAGGCCCAATTCGAGCACGTGCAATCAAGTGACTCGAAGATTTGAGTGATATATTAAAAAACAAAAGCCACTTGCTCTCTAATTTATGTGACTTGAAAAGCTCCATCAATCGAAAAAGACAAGTTCATAAATTTTAGGCTCGAAGCCTAGTTTCAATATGAAAGCTTGAAAGCTTATATGGAGGAATATTAAATATAAAGGTTTGAGGCCTAGATTAAATTTGAAGACTAGATATCTCGATTAAATATATTAGACCCAAGGTCTTAGTGATATATGATACTCAAAATTGAATATTTGAGTTAATGGGTATTTCTCACTCAAGGTACTTTATTTTATGATTAAGTACCGATTATAGGGCTTAAGACCCCAAATCAAGTACATAAATTCAAGGTATAAAACTCAATCCTTGAGATTTGAATGGTAAATATGTACTCACAATGAGTATTCATTTGAGATATAATGATATAAAAAATATCATGAAGTTTAAAATTATATTTGATAGTTCAAGAATGAACATAACTATAAAATTTGGATCATTGAAGTTAAAGATCCATTTATGTCTCATGATATCACAAAATATTTGTGTTATTGCTATGTGCCTTGAGGACACAAGCCAAATACTGCATAATGAAAATGTGTCCAGAAGACACCGAGCAAAATATTATTGTTTCATTTTCAAGAAACGAGTACTTAATTGGGGGTATGTGTCTTGAACACACAAGTACAAGTAACATTACATCTAGTTACTTATGAAGAAGAAGAGAGATAGATATTTGATCATCTCTATAATTTGCTCTCTTTAAATCTTGGCTTTGTTGTTTTGAAAACGACAAGTAAAATATTTCGATATATGTGTCTTGAAGATACATATAATGGAGAATTGTAAGAGAAAATATTCTCAAACTTATGGATCTATATTATGATCATGAAGTGACAACATAAAAAACTCAAGTTGCACTCGTAATAGCAAAATAAAGTTTTTTAATATCATATCGAACTATAATACGAGTTGTGAGCTAATACAAAACTCGTTTAATTGTTGTTATTCTTTGAAAGTGAAACAGCAATATTAAAAAATTCAAAGAGATATGTTGACATGAAAAGCTATCATGGTTCTCAAGCTTATTCACTATAAATTTTATCTCATCATTGCAAATGGAAGAGAGATGAGAAATATGAAAAATGATTGGTCATATATTCATTTCACGATAAAGCATGTTGATAAGCTTTATCAAGAAGCAACACAACAGCAAAAGAAATTGCGTGATTTTGGAGTCACGGTATTGACCAATTCAATGAAAGTTGTAAATTTCATTCCAAATACATATCGATGGAGGTATGTATATGATTTTTTTTGGTCTAGATGGAATGAGATGAAATTTCAAACCAAACAAAAAAAATGGGGATCTGCTTTTCTTGTTAAAATTCCAACCCTCTGCATATTCTGATTTTTTAAAATTTACATTTTACTCCTCAATTTTTAGTCCTCCGTATTTGAAAATTTTACGATTCAGTCCAAATATTTTTTAGAATATGCAGCTCGTTCCTCTCATCATCTGCAATTATGAATATATTTCAGCATTTTCAGTTTTCACCGAATTTTTTAAAATTGTATCCTTGATCCTGAAGTTTTAAAATTTACAGTTTGGTCCCTAAATT